CTTTCCCCCATTCAGTATAATGTTGGCTGTAGTTTTGTCATAGATGGATTTCTATGTCGATTTTGCTGAGGATTTCAATCATAAAGCGATGCTGGATTTTGTCAAATGATTTTTCTGCATCTAATGAAATGATTATATGATTTTTAAAAATCTGTTTATGTGGTGTATCACATTTATTGACTTGTGGGTTTTTTCGTTTTTTTTTTTTTAGTAGAGATGGGGTTTCATCATGTTGACCACACTGGTCTTGAACTCCTGACCTCAAATGATCCACCCGTCTCAGCCTCACAAAGTGCTGGGATTACACGTGTGAGCCACCATGACCAGGCTTACTTGTGTATGTTAAACCATCCCTGCATCCCTGGTTTGAAACCCACTTAATCATGGTAGATTATCTTTTAAATATGCTTTTGGATTCAGTTAGCTAGTATTTTGTTGCAGAGTTTTGCACCTATGCTCATCAGGGATATTGGTCAAGACAGGGCAATCAGACAAGAGAAAGAAATAAAGGGCATCCAAATCGGTAAAGAGGAAGTCAAATTGTCACTGTTTGCTGATGATATGATTATGTACCTAGAAAACCCTAAAGACATCCAAAAAGCTCCTAGATCTGACAAATGGATTCAGTAAAGTTTCAGGGTGCAAAAAACAATGCAGAAAAATCAGTAACACCAACAGCGACCAAGCTGAGAATCAAATCAAGAACTCAATCCCTTTTACAGCAGCTGCAAAAACAAAATACGTAGAATATACCTAACCAAGGAGATGAAAGGCCTCTACAAGAAAAATTACAAAACACTGCTGAAAGAAATCATAGATGACAACAAACAAATGGAAACACATCTGGTTGTCATGGATGGGTAGAATCAATATTGTGAAAATGACCATACTGCCAAAAGTAGTCTACAAATGCAATGCAATTCCCATCAAAATAACATCATCATTCTTCACAGAACTAGAAAAAACAATCCTAAAATGCATATGGAACCAAAAAAGAGCCTGCATAGCCAAAGCAAGATTAACCAATAAAGAAACTAGAGGCATCACGTTACCTGACTTCAAACTATGCTACAGGCTATAGTCACCAAAACAGCATGGTACTGGTATAAAAATAGGCACATAGATTACAGGCGTGAGCAACCACACCCGACCCATTTGCATATATTTTTTGAGGATTATCTATTCATGTCCTTAGTGTACTTTTTGATGGGATTATTTGGCATTTGAAGCAACCTGGATGGAGTTGGAGACCATTATTCTAAGTGAATTAACTCAGGAATGGAAAACCAGCCGTCGTATGTTCTGACTTATAAGTAGGAGCTAAGCTATGAGAACACAAAGGCATGAGAATCACACAATGGACTTTGGGAACTCCCTGTGGGAGGGTGAGAGGGAGGTGAGGGAGAAAAGACTACACAATGTGTACAGTGTACACTAGTCGGGAGCTGGGTGCACCAAAATCTCAGAAATCACCAATAAAGAATTTATTCATGTAACCACACACCACCTGTTCCCTAAAAACTATTGAAATTTAGAAATTTTTTAAATAAAATTTGAATAAGCAAAAAATGGATTATTTGCTTTAAAAAAAAAAAAGGAAATTACCACTTGTATAGTTTTTGTGTAATGTGAAAGATGACTATCCATAATTACATGTAGAGTTGTTAAAAATAATCCATCCAGTCCAGGCATGGAAGCTCATACAAGTCATTCCAGCTACTGGGAAGGCTGAGGTGAGAGAATCCCTTGAGCCCAGGAGTTCGAGGCTGCAGTGAGCTATGATGCTGCTGCTGCACTCCAGCCTGGGTGACACAGTAAGACCCTGTCTCTAAACAACAGCAATAATAATCCTTCCCTTTTCAACTCAATAGTCGTGTAAGGCTATATATATATATTTTTTAATATACACTTCAATCAAAGTTAGAGAATGGCTGGGATGCAGCTGGAGGCCATAATCCTGAGTGAATTAATGCAGGAACAGAAAACCAAGTACTGCATCTTCTCACTTATGTTTGGAAGCAAAACACTGCACACATGGACATAAACATGGCAACGTCAGAGTGAAGAGTGTGGGGAAGTGGATTGAAAAACTACCTATGGGTACTGTGCTCACTACCTGAGTGACAGGATCCATGCCCCAAACCTCAGCACCGGACAACATACCCACGCAGCAAACCTGCACTTGTACCCCGGTATCCAAAATAAAAGTTGAAATTTTAAAAATAAGTAAATAAGAGAATGTATGCTATGAGACAAGAATGACACTTACAAAAATGTAAAATAATCACTCTCCTTGTTACAAAAATCTTGGTAGCTGCAGAAGGTGGGATCTTTCCTCGTTGGGAGTCGCAGAGCCAATACTTGAAACCGAAAGTGAGCCTCAGGCACAGCAAGCTTTATTCCTTCACAGGACTTGGAAAGGCGGGAACAGCTCTCCCAAATCAACTTCTCAGCTAGTGAGGGGTGAGGGGCTAAAATGTAGGACGGCTCCAATGATAGGGTTGGGCATTAAAAGTGAGGGGAGGAATGTTCATAAGTTTTACAGGAAAAAAAGGGGTGAACTTTTCCAAACCGGTAATGCCGCTTTCCTTTCGGTCCTTTTTGGACTTCTAGTCATTGTCATGGAGATTGTCAACTGTCCTGGAACTGATGGGAGTGCCATTTAGCCTGGAAACGGGATTATAATGAAGTGTCAGGTCTTTTTGAAGTCATTTGGCCCGACTATCTTGGCCGTAACAAAGGCAACTTCTTGAAGCAGATTCTGTTTGTTTTTGTTTGTTTGTTTGTTCCCCACCCCCCCGCAGCGGAGTCTCACTGGGTCCCCCAGGCGAGAGGGCAGTGGCGGGAACGCGGCTCACAGCAACCATCACCCCCTGGGGTCAAGCAATTCTTCTGCCTCAGCCTCCCAGTAGCTGGGATTACAGGCATGTGCCACCACTCCTGGCTAATTTTTGTATTGTTAGTAGAGACGGGGTTTCACATTGTTGTCCAGGCTGGTCTTGAACTCCTGATCTCGTTATCCGCACACCTCGCCCTCCCAAACTGCTGCGATTACAGGCGAGCCACCGTGCCCAGCTTGTTTATTTTGCAAAAATTAAAAATGATTCGTTTTCTTTTTTTTTTTTTTTTTTTTTTTTTTTTGCTGAAAACTTGTAGATTTTTTATTTTCCCCCCATTTATTTATTTTATTGCATTTTAGGTTTTGGGGTACATGTGAAGAACATGCAAGATTGTTGCATAGGTACACACGTGGCAGTGTGATTTGCTGCCTTCTTCCCCATCACCTACATCTGGCATCTCTCCCCTTGCAATCTATCCCCAACTCCCCACCCCCCACCGTCCCTCCCCTATTTCCCCCCAACTGACCCCAGTGTGTAGTGCTCCCCTCCCTGTGTCCATGTGTTCTCATTGTTCAACATCCGCCTACGAGTGAGAACATGCGGTGTTTGATCTTCTGCTCTTCTGTCAGTTTGCTGAGAATGATGGTTTCCAGGTTCATCCATGTCCCTACAAAGGACACAAACTCATCGTTTTTGATGGCTGCATAATATTCCATGGTGTATATGTGCCACATTTTCCCTGTCAAGTCTATCATCGATGGGCATTTGGGTTGGTTCCAGGTCTTTGCTATTGTAAACAGTGCTGCAATGAACATTCGTGTGCTTGTGTCCTTATAGTAGAACGATTTATAATCCTTTGGGTATATACCCATTAATGGGATTGCTGGGTCAAATGGAATTTCTATTTCTAGGTCCTTGAGGAATCGCCACACTGTCTTCCACAACGGTTGAACTAATTTACACTCCCACCTTTCTATATGATAAATACTCATGTAATCCACAGAAACAAAATTTACTTGGGTCCTTACTAATTCCTAAGAGTGTACAGAGATACTGAAACCTAAAAACTTAACTGCTGATTGCTGCACGCGGTGGTTCACGTCTGTAATCCCAGCACTTTGGGATTTAAAATACAGTATATAACAATGCAGGCTCATGCCTGGAAACACAGCACTTTGGGAGGCCTAGGCGGGAGGATCGCTTGAGCCCAGGTGTTTGAGACCAGCCTGGGCAACATGGAGGAACCCGTATCTACAAAATACAAAAAAAATTGCCTGGTGTGGGTGCACGCATCTGTAGTCCCAGCTACTCAGGAGTCTGAAATGGAAGGATCCTTTCAGTTTCAGAGATCGAGGCTGCAGTGAGCCGTAATCGCGCCACTGCACTCCAGCCTGGATGACAGAGTGGGAACCTGTCTCCCAAAAAAAGGCTGGGTGCGGTGGCTCATGCCTGTAATCCCAGCACTTTGGAAGGCAGAGGTGGACGGATCACCTGAGGTCAAGAGTTTGAGACCGGCCTGACCAACATGGAGAAACCCCGTCTCTACTATAAATACAAAAAATTAGCCTAGCATGGTGGTGTATGTCTGTAATCCCAGCTACTCGGGAGGCTGAGGCAGGAGAATCGCTTGAACCCAGGAGGCGTAGTTTGCGGTGAGCGGAGATTGCGCCATTGCAGTCCAGCCTGGGCGACAAGACCGAAACTCTGTCTCAAAAAAAAAAAAAAAAAAAGCCATACACACACAAAAAAAACCAAGAAGGGGTGCAGTGGCTCATGCGGGTAACCTAGTACTTTGAGGCCGAGACGGGAGGATCGCTTGAGGCCAGAAGTTGGAGACCAGCCAGCTAACAGAACGAGACACCTCCCAACACACACATCCGACTATACATACACACACACACACACACGCACACACACACACACCGAAAAAAACCACTGATAGCGTCACAAAGACCGCGCTTGGGTCAGGAGGAGAGGGAGCAGAACAGTGTTCCAGGTCCTCGGGCGTGGCTCTCATGGTCTCAGGCCCCAAGGGCAGAGTCTGGGGACTTAGAGAGGCGCAGCGTTGGGACTTCCGCACTCCGCAGTTTCATTTCTTCTCGGAACCTGGTCGGGTCCTTCTTCTTGGACAATCATGACGCAGACTCAATTCTCATTCCCATTGGGTGTCGGGTTTCTAGAGAAGCCAATCAGCGGCCAGGATTCCCGACTATAAAGTCCCCACACTCCCTCGACTCGTTTTCCGCAGATACGGAGGATGGGGTCATGTCGTCCCGAAGCCTCCTCCTGCTGCTCTCGGCAGCCCTGGCCCTGACCGAGACGTGGGCGCGTGAGTGCCGGGTGGGGAGGAAAACGGCCTCTGCGGGGAGGAGCGAGGGGCCCGCCCCGCTGGAGTGCAGGACCCGAGGAGCCACTCAGGGAGGAGGGTCGGCGGATCTCAGCCCCTTCTCGCCCCCAGGCTCCCACTCCATGAGGTATTTCCACACCTCCGTGTCCCGGCCCGGCCGCGGGGAGCCCCACTTCATCTCCGTGGGCTACGTGGACGACACGCAGTTCGTGCGGTTCGACAGCGACGCCGCGATTCCGAGGATGGAGCCGCGGGCGCAGTGGATGCAGAAGGAGGGGCCGGAGTATTGGGAGCGGGAGACACAGAGCGCCAGGGACACCGCACAGGGTTTTCGAGTGAACCTTCGGACCCTGCTCCGCTACTACAACCAGAGCGAGGCCGGTGAGTGACCCCGGCCCGGGGCGCAGGTCACGACTCCTTCCCATCACCCACGGACGGCCCGGGTCACCCCGAGTCTCCGGGTCCGAGGTCCACCCGGAGTCTGTGGGACCCGCCCAGACCCTCGACCTGGGCGAGCCCCGGACGCGTTTACCAGGTTTCATTTTCAGTTTAGGCTAAAATCCCGGCGGGTTGGCGGGGCGGGGCGAGGGGGGGCGGGGCTGACCGCAGGGGCGGGGCCAGGGTCTCACACCCTCCAGTGGATGCATGGCTGCGACCTGGGGTCCGACGGGCGCTTCCTCCGCGGGTATGAACAGTTCGCCTACGACGGCAACGATTACCTCACCTTAAACGAGGACCTGCGTTCCTGGACCGCGGCCGACACCGCGGCTCAGATCTCCAAGCGCAAGTCAGAGGAGGCCGGTGAGGCGGAGCACCAAAGAGCCTACCTGGAGGACACGTGCGTGGAGTGGCTTCTCAGACACCTGGAGAACGGGAAGGAGACGCTGCAGCGCGCGGGTAAGATGGGCCACAGGGCAACGCTCCCTTCTCCTTCTTGGACTTGGACTGTGCCCACAGCTGACAGACCTCAAAGAGTAGAAGAAACAGTGATGGAAGCCAGAATACCCCTTGTTCCTTGGATCAGGAGAGGGAGCTGTCACCCTGGGTACAGGAGATCCTGTACTAAAGAGTGACTCTTAAAGTGCCAGCCCCTCTCAGGGGCAATTAAGGACTCTAATGTCGGAGATTCCATCCTTCAAATGAACTGATCAGCAGTTCTCTTTGACTCCCAGTGTTAGGGATCTTGGGGGACTTTCTCTCCTGCCTGGTTCTCAGCCCCACACCAAGTGTCTTTGCAGGTCTGACACTAACTTTTCTCAATAATTCAGCATCCACTCAGGCCAGAACCAGAAATCCCTTTTCACTTTCTATCCTGGGCTATCTCACCCCAATTCTAGAACTTTCCAAGGAATAAGAGGCTATCCCAGACCCCTAAGTCCAGGCTGGTGTCTAGGTTTTGTGCTCTTCTACTCTAATTGTCCTCTTTGTTCTCAAGATGGCCACAAAGGCACTGCTGGACTGTCCCATGAGAGATGCAAAGTGCCTGAATTTTCTGACTCTTCCCCTCAGATCCCCCAAAGACACATGTGATCCACCACCCCATCTCTGATCATGAGGCCACCCTGAGGTGCTGGGCCCTGGGCTTCTACCCTGCGGAGATCACACTGACCTGGCAGCGGGATGGGGAGGACCAGACCCAGGACATGGAGCTTGTGGAGACCAGGCCAGCAGGGGACGGAACCTTCCAGAAGTGGGCGGCTGTGGTGGTGTCTTCTGGAGAGGAGCAGAGATACACGTGCCATGTGCAGCATGAGGGGCTGCCGGAGCCCCTCACGCTGAGATGGGGTAAGGAGGGCATGGGAGGTCACATCTCAGGGAGAGCAGGAGCCCTTCTTGAGCCCTTTATTAGGGTTGGGGCTGGGGCCTGGGGGTCAGGGTCCCTCACCTTCCCGTTTTCTCCCAGAGCCATCTTCCCAGCCCACCATCCCCATCGTGGGCATCGTTGCTGCCCTGGCTGTCCTTGGAACTGTGGTCACTGGAGCTGTGGTTGCTGCTGTGATGTGGAGGAAGAAGAGCTCAGGTGAGGAAGGGGTGAGCAGTGGGGTCTGAGTTTTCTTGTCCCACTGGGGATTTCAAGCCCCAGGTAGAAGTGTGCCCTGCTTAGTTACTGGGAAGCGCCATCCACACACACAGGCCTACTCAGCATGGGCCCTGTGTGCCAGCACTTACTCTTTTATAAAGGACCTATGACATTGAAGGACAGATGTATCACCTTGATGGTTGTGGTGATGGGGACCTGATCCCCACAGTCACAGGTCACAAGGGAAGGTCCCTACTGAGGACAGTCCTTAGGAGGGCAGTTGGTCCAGGACCCACATCTGCTTTCCTGATGTTTCCTGATCCTGCCCTGGGTCTTCAGTCACAGTTCTGGAAACTTCTCTGGGGTCTGAGACTAGGGGGTTCCTCTAGGACCTTGTGGCTCTGCCTTCTCCTTGTCCGCTCACAGGACATTTTCTTCCCACAGATAGAAAAGGAGGGAGCTACTCTCAGGCTGCATGTAAGTGGTGGGGGCACTCACCCCCCCCAGAGTGTGGAGGAGCTCACCCACCCCATAATTCCTCCTGTCTCACATCTCCTGCGGGCTCTGACCGGGTCCTGTTTCTGTTCTACCCCAGGCAGCGACAGTGCCCAGGGCTCCGATGTGTCTCTCCTGGCTTGTAAAGGTAAGACCCTGGGGGTCTGAAGTGGGTGGTGAGTGGGGCAGAGGGGTCAGGACTGGGTTATGGGGTTTTTTTTATTCGGAACTTTTGAGTGTATGGTGAGCTGTTCAGTGTCATCACTTACTGTGACTGATCTGAATTTGTTCATGACTATTTTCTTCTGTAGCCTGAGACAGCTACTTCGTGAGGGATGAAAATTAAGGATTCCTCCACGCCTCCCCTTTATGAGCTCAAGAGACTCTGCCTTCTCTTTCTGCAAAGGCATCTGAATATACCTGTGTATATTAGCATAAGAGGAGGTGGAGACACAGCACCCCCCGGTGCCCACCATGACCCCTTCCTCACACTGACATGTCTTCCTTCCACATGAATGATGCCAAGTGGAAATGGTAAGGTGCAGCTACCACAGAGAGCCCCCACCAGGGAAATGTCTAGTGTATCCGTGGAAGCCAGGCCACTGGAGAGAGTGCCTTGTGGAGTGGTGGGAGCAGGACCCCAGAACTGTGGAGTCAGTAGCAACATGCAATGCCCACTTGGGAAAGCTTCAGGCTCCAGACTCCAACCCACACGAGCAGCCACATGGGCTGCCCCCAGCAAAGCCACAGGCCCAGGGCTACCTGAGGCCTTGGGGGCCCAATCACTGCTCCAGTGTGTCCCTGAGGCAGCAGTCACAGCAGATTATTCTCCTCTTCCTGTGAATTTTTACTTTGCCATTTCTCCCTATGTGACATGGTGGGGCTTCACCTGTCTGGGCTCCAGTTCCTCGATTTGTATGTGACATCGTTTACCTGGGAGGGTTATTACAAAGCTAATATAAAGTACCTGTGCTGTGGTTTGAATGTGTCCTTTAAAAAGCATGTGCTGGGAACTGAATCCTCAGTGCAACCATATCGGGAAGTGAAGGCTAATGGCTGGCCACAGGGGTTCCAACCTTATGAAAGAATTCATACTGATTATAAAAGGGCTTGAGGTTGAGGCAAGTTCAACCTCTTGCCCTCACTCACCCACTTGCCTCCACCAAGAGATGATACACAAAAACACCCTCACCATATGCCAGGATCTTGATATTAGACTTTTTACCCTCCAGAACCATGAAATAAATAGCTTTGCTTTAAAGATTACTCAATCTGTGCTATTCTATTAGAGCAACACAAAACGGGCAACCTGATAGTTAGGTTTCAGTTAGTGGTAGATACTTTTATTTCAGGCATTCCTGCTAGAGTATTAGTTTCTTTGTAAGCCCAGAATCTTTGCATTTTAGCAACAAAGAAGTCTTAATGGAAAGAAAGTCAATGTATAGATGTGATGGAAATTTGAACTCATGCTAGTGTTTAAAAAATTGAAGGGGAACTGTTGCTCCTCATTGCTGTCCCAGGTGAACTGGGTGAACTGTTTCCTTCTCTACTTGCTTTGCCCATTTCTACTTCCGCCATATTGGCATTCTATGTTTGCCTTACCTCAAAGGTCGGCTTTCCTCAGTTTTAGATCTTAAATCTTTTTAAGCCAAAACTCCAAGGGATTTTAACAAATATTTATTGAACCCTTCCTGTGTTCAAAGAACATTGTAAGGTCCAGGGTGGGACTAGGGGCTGGGAATGGTTCCTGTGCTGACAGAACCTAAGATTTAGTAACAGTGAAAAAAACAGACTTTCAGATAACTATTGTGGTTTGGAACGAAAGGTACAAAATGTTGAAAGTCAGGAAACTCTTCTAGGACAGTGGTTCCCAACGTTTTAGGCACCAGGGACTGGTTTCATAGAAGACAATTTTTCCATAGACAAGATGGGAGGGATGTTTTCGGGATGATTCAAGCACGTTATATTTATTGTGGACTTTATTTCTATTATTACACTGTAATGTATAATCAAATAATTATACAACTTACCATAATGTAGAATCAGTAGGAATCCTGAACTTGTTTTCCTGCAACTAGACAGTCCCATCTAGGGGTGATGGGATATGCTGACAGGTCACCAGGCATTGGATTCTCATAGAAGTGAGCAACCTAGATCCCCCGCATGTATACTTCACAATAAGGTTCACACTCCCATAAGAATCTACTGCCACTGCCAGTCTGACAGGAGGCAGAGCTCAGGTGGTCATGCTTGGTCACCTGCCACTTACCTGCTGTGCAGCCCAGTTCTTAACAGGCCACAGACCAGTATCAGTACATGGCCCAGGGGTTGGGGACCCCTGTTTTGGAGACCCAGGAAGGTTTCTAAAGGAAGAAATGTTTGAGTTATGCTTTGAAAAATGCCGGGCGCAGTAGCTCACGCGTGTCATCCCAGCACTTAGGGAGGCCAATGCGGGCAGATCACAAGATCAGGAGATCGAGATCATCCTGGCTAACATGGTGAAAACCCACCTATACTAAAAATACAAAAACTTAGCTAGGCATGGTGGCACGTGCCTGTACTCTTACCTACTCAGGAGGCTGAGGCAGGGAAATCTCTTGAACCTGGGAGGCAGAGGTTGCAGTGAGCCGAGATCGCACCACTGCACCCCAGCCTGGGCAGCAAAGAGAGACTCTGTCCAGAAAAAAAAAAAAAGAAGAAGAAAAATGTAAGACACCACTGTAGGTGTTTTAATCAAAGGAATAGGGTTATATCTAAAAAAAAACGTTGGAAGGATAAAGAGCAGGTTGCTTATGCCTCCTGGCTTGACCCTGGAACAATTCAGAAAGCCCAGTGAGGCACCTACTCCCCGTGAGGCCACACAGGAGCTGTGCTTTCTCACGTCTGGATCTCACTGCCACATAGGGGTTTCTGGTCACCTGGACACCAAGGAAGAGAGGTCAAGCAGGTCCCACTCCTCTGGCATTACACCCAGTGATTGAGTCAATATACTGTCGGGAAAACATGGCTTTTCCATGATTGGAAAAGTCTTGAACAGCTAAAAGCAGAACAGGATAGTTGGGCTGCATTATGTAGATAATGGTGAGTCATAGGCAGGCCCCACCTCCTTGGGCCATCATATGTGGACAGATCTTCATGTGATTATGGCATAACTCTGGGTTCCTTTCTCCATGTGCCTGTTCTTAATTGGCCCAGGAGAGTACCCAAGGGAGAAAGGAACCTGAATTATT